CGGTGGAGCTTCTTTTTTCATCCAGCCCAAAACCTGACCCGCACTGTGTTGTCCTTGAGGCAAATTGCACCAAGTGGTCATTCTTCTTGTTATTGTCTTGACTGGACGATAATAATTTTCGGATATGCCATCTTATCCCGTCAAATATCAATTAATCTATCTCTGCTATTCATGCCACTCTGACAAGAGTATAATCTTTTTATTGCGCTATCAGCCATGAGCAAACCCTTTGACTCCTCGACCAATCTTACTGAAACAGGACAGCATTACCATCATGGATATTGATCTTCATCAACTGCAGTGGTGCACTTTCATGGCGGTCACCATCTCATGACAGGTACTGTCAATACGGAGTATCGGTACATGAGACTCCAAGTCCACATCTGCACTGTGACCTCGATGGTCGACTACAAGTATCCCCTGGCTCTTTGTTCGTTCGCGGCACTGCGAACGCTCTCGAGGTGCTTGCTGCTGCTCAGTTGGGCGCTGCATGCCTCTGTTATTCGTCTGCTGTTTCTGTCAGGGGCCACTCAACAACCCTGCCCATGTCACCCTCAGTGCGCGCCGTGTACCTGCACCTAAGGTGCACTTGTGCGTGCATGCAGACAAAAGCGCTGCAAGCCCACGACAGATGCAAGCGAGCAATCTTGAGCAAGTGGCATCAAGCGTCGAACCTAATTCATGTTGGAAGGACAACTCCATCATGTGAGAGAAACTTCGACTCTCTCTTGGAATTATCTTCCCGAAGCTCCATTTGGATGATCTTCAACCCTCCCATGCCCAAACTCACCAAGCGCCTTTACCAGGATGGCCTCCAGGTTTGAGAGCGGGGGAGGCGAACATCAAAGTGGAGGTCAAGGGATGAGTAACGGTTACAGCGGGCGGCACGATGTCTTGCTCAATGGCCGCGCGACAATCTAACGGCCTTGGCGGTTGCGCATTCGAAAATCAAGCATCAATGGCTTTGGCCAGGCACCATAGATAACTATCACAAGAGTCGTTTCTTCGGACATTTGCCAAACTCTGAAGAGAAGCTAGCTAGAACTTGTTCACACCATCAAACGCTGCAAACAGGAAGAGATCCCAGTCGATTAGCGACCGGCTGAGTTACAATAAGCATTGCTACCGTGTGGTGGTCAGCGGGCAGCTGCAGGTCAGGATTCGGATGATAACCGGCTGGCCACTTTGAGAATACAATTCATAGGCCCGAGTCAGCTTCGATCAGCAGGTATCACTTATCGACGGCATGGCGGATCGTCAAAGGTTTCTGGCGCAGCCTTCGCCTAGAAATTATCGTAAGATGCATGATCAATTTTGCATTTGTGTCGCTGTACAAAGTTTTCGGTGATTTCTCTGCAACCCATACACAGCTGTGCCTTGATCTGGTGTAAGTCAGAGGCCAATCATATCCACTGAGAGACCAAGAGGCTGTTCGTAGGCAGCCACCAACGAACTGATCGATCTCAAGAAGGGGCGGGACCTAGATCAACGGTACCATCCATTGAAACACCACAACAACTAAAGTTAAGGTAGGGAGTTTAAACGACACGATAGTTTCCGCATGCAATAATCATGAATTCATCTTACTATACGATAGTGCCGAGCCATCCGCCGCCAACGCGCCTTGTCAGAAACAAAGCAGGTTTATATCTACCTATCCACTCTCAACCTCACTAATTGACACCAACCGTGTAAACTATCGTACAGGGGAGACATGGCTTGCATGATGATCGGGGCTAGAACCAGTCGTCAACTGCTATGCGCCACAGTAGCCCAAAAAGATACAATACGATGCTGTATACAGTATGGCGGAGCGCATATCTGTTGTGTGGTGTTGTGTTAGGTATTTTGCATTTGCTGGAGTAGTATTGAGTTCTTATCCGTTGCTTTTTTTTCTTCTTCCCCAGTTGGTTAACCTGAGATCTGTCCAGGATGAGCTGGCAGGCCACCTGGCCCATCGGCCTGACCAGGTCAGAGATTACGAGGTCGAGAACACGACCACAACAAACCGATTCACCAAAACAATGACCCCAGGACTTACCAAGGTTAGTTAGGTTGTGATCTATCAACCGGGTTGCCAGGAGCCCTTGAAGATTACGTACTGCCCTCGTCCGAGCGCTCTGGTTTACAGGCCAAAGAGTTCCGATTTTAGATCTTGACAGATGGGGTCAGTCGACGACCCATTGTATCTCAACGGGAAAGTTGTCTGCCAAGCGTACAACGAATTACTTGTTTTCCTGTTTGCATTTTTTATCATACTGACATCTCGGTCAGTGGAAGCCTTGATCTTTGTTGTAGTCCCAGCTTAACGCCATCCTCGCTACGCACGGGGCCAGGAACAGCCTTGATTCCCCTTGTCAATTCCCACACTGGTACCCGTCCGTACCTGAAAGTCATTCCTTGATTGAGAGTTTGAGACCTTGAAAGATGTGGTAGCTGATGACGGATGCGATTGAGGCTGAGGCTGCTGTCCATCTGTGCGTGCAGGGGCACTTGTACAAAAGCACTTTGCCTTGTTCATCTGGGACGGGATATTCACCAAGGCAACGGTATCAGACTGCGACCTCTGATTGGCTTATGTTTTGATTTCCTGTCTAATTGCTTTTCTAAACTCGCAGCACGTCAGACAAGACGGGTTGATCATGGAGCTGTCTCTATCACGGATGGTTTGTTTCAACAAACTCAATCCGGGTGTTGACAGTTACCGAGCTTGAAATGACAGGCGCCTCTCCCGTGTAACAATGGTAATGATTTTGATCTCGAATTGTAGCATTGACAATCTATTGCTCTACGCCCGCCCTTATACACTGCTTCCCCATTAAAGGCTATCCTGGCTTGCCTGATAATCATATTTAACGTCAGATCTACACCAATATCCGACGACACCGCCAAATCATGCACAGACTAAAATGATCGCAAGGTACTTGGCGCATCGGAAATATGGCCGAACTTGGTATAAACAAGACGGGACGGTTTTCAAGACTCAACAACGCCTAAATTAAGCATGGCGGAACAATTTAGACAAAACACAAGTTGCATCTGTTGATCGATGGTTGTCGTGACAATTGTGTGTTGGCAAACAAAGCAATTGCATGATATCACAGCTCTACAAACCTGCATGCATACGGCCAGGTTTGACACCTTGTACCATTGACTCCTCATGTCTCTCTTTCATCCCTCGTGTCTTGCCCAGACCTGGGGGTTCATGGGGGCAGACACTCTCATGGAGCCAAGTCCACCAGCTAAGCCACTATACAAGGATTCTCCCTCTTTCGAGCCTTTAAAGTCCCCCGTTTTACTCCACAGTGCACTCGTAGCCGGCCAATTTCACGGTCGAGGGGGGAAAAAGAGGCTGCCAAATCCCATCTCAGGTCAGCCTGCCACCGTTCAGCTCGTCCACGAATAACCTCCCTCAGGCGCATCGCGATGAAATGAAGGCTTTCTTGTATGCATAAGCAATCTCGCCAACATCTCAACGAGGAAGCTATGTAATACCGTTCGACACGGGTGGCATTCCTATTATTATCTGCAACGGTAATAAGCCAATTTGCCCAGCTAATTACGATTGCCTCTTCATTCCGTCATGAGATCCATCTCCCTGCGTTGCGGTGAAGGAGGCCTCGGACAGGACAGATTCCCAAAAATATCTACCGTGTTTTTAATGGGGTTGAGAAATACCCGAATTTAGCACGCGATGGTTCATCGTCATTTCGTGGCCTTGACTCTGGGCCCATGATAGACTGGCGACTGGATGCCATTTATGTAGGATTCGGCCACGATACCGAAGGAACATGGCCTAATCTGGCCTCTAACCCGCATCAGTCGTGTCCCACTATGACATTGCAGTGCCATGGATGTTGATTACGATGAGCCCGATTAATCCTCGCATTATAGGTGTTCATCCATACTCTTTCATAGCATGTTCTTAGTTGAAGCCTTATGATGGACGCTTCCTTCGAAATGTCTCTCCCATGACTCCACATTGTAATGTCTCTGCCTTTCGGAAATGTCTCAGTAATCTAATGCACGGCAATTACACGCATGCATTTGCAATACTGTTAATTAATCAAATTACATAGTAAGCACCATTGAAGTGCGTACGTCAACAACTTGCTTCTGGCCAGTGATAGGCTCATGGTTTGGTCGGTGCTATCTCCCTTAATGCATACTCATACAGTTGGCCCCCTTTTATACAAATTCCTAACATAAACCTAAAGGACATGCAGCTGGCAATACGAACAGCCATTACCCCTGCTCCAATCACATCACTTGATCAGCATCTTAACGGTTAGCTTCCATGCATCGAGGTCAAACCCGCCTGCGAGAAACTGCAAACTAGAAATCCTTGTAAACCTTGAAGACCATCAAAGTGGCTAGGGGAGGTGAGAAAACCCAAAACCACGATCTTGAGTGACAAAAATACTTGGGTTACCACAGAGTATAAGGTTTAGAAGATTTGGTTGGTATTATTAGCCCTTTCACTGAAGGTCTCGGGTCTTTTTGCTCCGCTTAGAAACTGGATCTGAGGCTTACAAGTTCACAGCTGAGAGACATAGCCAATAGCGTAGATTCTCCCTTGACTGACAGCTAACCAGGGACGGGATGGCACATTATTGGAAGGCTCGTCAGCGCCGAAGACAGACGGACGAACTATTGAATGGAGCAAAGAATAGCCGAACCGAGGCCAGCTTAACATTATTATCAGGAACTCATCTGAAGGGGCCAGAAGTCTTCAGATCGTGAAACAAAAGCACCAAGCGACGTGACAAGATCCCCCTTTATCTGCCCCTGAATTAAAGTGTGGGGATACCTGGACCCTGGATTTAGCCACAATTCTGGACCAATTGTGGAGGAGCACAGCCACAGCTTTATCATGCTTCTCACCGCCTCTGAGATAGTGCCCCGCTGTAACATTTTTTGACTGGCAGAAAAATTGGTGAAGCGCGCAAGATCAATCAAACGACACGCCTCAGTATCAAAGACAGATACATAGCAACAGTATGTCTGATACGGAGAAAACAAACCTGACTCCCGCTCCTGCGGCGGAGAAGGCCCTTGGTATGCGCAGGAATGGTAACATCAACCCCCAGCATTGGTTGTACATGGATTCACCAAGCTAACTGTTCTGTAGGCAAGCAATGGCATGCCCCCAAGAAGGCCTTCCGACCTACCGCTGGCCTGAAGTCATATGAGAAGCGAACGCAAGAGCGAGCTCTCATGGCGCAAGTCAAGGCCAAGGAGAAGGAGATGAAGGATGAGAAGGAACAGGAGCGCCAGGTAGGCCCAGATTCTCCTCACATTAGACGGGACATGATCTAAATTAAGAAACAGCGCAAGATTGCAGCGATTAAGGAGAAGCGAGCAAAGAAGGAAGAGGCTGAGCGATACGAGAAGATGGCCGAGAAGATGCACAAGAAGCGAGTCGAGCGACTAAAGCGCAAGGAGAAGCGCAACAAGCTAATCAACTCATGATCGTGGGATGACTTGGTGGTTGAAATTTGATTGGAGCAGACATACATCGACAGCACTATGATTTACGATGCGGTATACCTCAGACTACAACTTGAAACGGAAAGATTAGGTTAGACAATACGGGAGCAGCGCGATATACCTGGGCGTTGGAATATGCGATCAAATCTTGGCAGATCAGTTACCGGGTTCTCCGGCTAGTTGTGTGGTTCTTTGTCTTCGTGTGATTTAAAGATTCTTAAATCTAGTATTCATCATTGATTCATAGATCGGCTGGTTCGGGATTGGGTCGAGCTCGAGCTGAGACTCCTTTGCCGTAGGAGAGCCAGCTAATATCTTTAAAGGACAACAATGACATGAGGTTCACATATCTAAAATTTCGAGTTAACGAAAGCAACACGCGGGAATCTTCAAGTAGACCCATCTACTGCTTGCTTCCTTTGGGATCTTGGTCTTGGTCAAAGACCGCCATTGTGGGTATCGTAGTGACTATGACACCATTCTGAGCTTGACCAACCGATGGCACATGCCATGACATTCCTGTTCAAAATTTCGAAAGGAAGACTATATACGTATACTAGCATCTGATACTATTGAAAACGTATTCGGATACTATCTGCAGCTTCTGTGGAGATATTTCGATCTTGTGTGCATCTACCTTCAAGTGACATGTGAAACTGCCGTTTTGCTGGGGTCCACTAAACCACGCCCGAAGTTGACCATTCGACGATCGCCTGATGCAACCACGCAACAAACCTGGATTTCTACTGCTCCAAGCCCTTTTTTGGGTAACCCACCCATTCGTGCGTCACAGGGTCCAGGCATAGAGTTTTTCTCACGACCTACAGTACGGTCACTATAGCTGCAGGCAGGACGAATCGGGATCAGCCACACTACCAACGGGGAAATACCGCTCACGCCATGGCCTCAGCAGGCTTTACGAGTCCCCGAGACTCTACAAACTCGGTCTCCAGTGTTCGTTCGAGCAGCCGACATCAGTTGAAGCGATCCATCACCGAGCTCGCGTCCCCCGTGAAGCTCGGCCGTCGAGAGAAGAAAGAACGCGATCGATATAATGAGGACCGCGCCGTGCATCCGCACCACATCTCCATCTCCCATCCTGTATCGGCGAACCCACAATATCAGGGCAGAGCATCAGTAGACATCATGACACGCTCAGAAGGCGTCACGCCGTACATGAGCCCCGATCAAAGTCGGAGGCCAAGCTTGATGCTCTCGCGAGAGGAGGAGAACAGAGCTCTCAATGTCCCTGCTCCGGCGGAACCCAAGACCAAGGAGAAGATTTTGGAAGATCAGGCTAAAACGTCCTCTCAGGTCGAGTAAGATACTGCATATATCCTTGTCTGGTGCTATATAGCTGACGCTTTCATAGGGGCCTGAAGCAATCCCTGGTCGAGCTTGGATCCTTCTCTACGTCCACAGCCCGGCGACTTGATGAGACATACTATGCGGTTCTTGAGAAGATGAGTACCCTTCAGTCGACTGTTTCCGCCTTGAAGGAGTTGGCGGAGGAGTCTCAGAACATCCATCGAAATTTTGAGAAGGACGCTTCTGAAATCGAAAACGATATCACATCGCAGATTGCAGCAATGGGCCAGTTCAAGGAGCACCAGAAGCACATCGAATCACTCACGACCCGTGTCCAAGATGGCCGCGCAAGGATCCGCGCTCTTAGTGATCGAGTCGATATTGTTCGAGAGCAAGTTGAGCTCTGGGAGCGTCTAGACAAGGAGTCCCAGGACAAGACACGGTTGAGATTGAGAGCTATCATTATCTGCATCACGGTTGTGTTCCTTGCAGTGGTAGTTCTGTTCTTCGGTGCTCAGTATGTCTCAAGACATAGTTCACTCTTGGGTAGTGATGACTCGAGTCCACCTCGTGTTACAGAGTCTATCATCCAGTCACATAAGGGAGTGGCACATCCATCGCTGTCTCTCCGAAGACCTGAGAAGAGTGGTGTTCCATATTCGAAGAGGAAGCTGGTGCATACGCATGCAGAGGAGGAGCTTCGTGTTTTCGACGAACTGTGAGCTTGTCGGTTCTCAGTTCAATTGCTTTCATTCGATACCCATCATAGCGCGCGCATCACATAACTCCTTTATTCCCTTTGTAATGGCAGGATTTTTAATAGATAGTTGATTCGCATCGAGATTGTTCTTCAATAAAGCACTACCTCAATACGAAAACATCATTCGGTTTATGAATAAAACCAAGTACATATGGGGTCGATCAACTTACCCTACGTCAGTCACAAGAACCTTCCCAAGAGTTTCGACTCAATGCATAATAACACCGAAGCCAATTCTGTAAGCGGCCATTGCAAGCATCATAGATAATGGTGGCATGCGATCATTAATACGTAGATACGAGGCACCTGGCATGTTTGTATTGCTCAAACTACTGAAATTCTCACGTCTCCTCACCCACTGAATGTCTGTAGGCATGTCAAGCCTGACATTCGCGTCGCTGACTATTATTCCACAGACCGATAATAATTTATGATGCTAATGATACCTAGTTACATAGTCGTCTCATCAGGAGCATTTCCGTCTTTCCTGTTCCGAGCCGCTGCCGGCGCCACACTTCGGAGCCTCCGTGTCACTTCCCCACCGCCGAGCCGTGACTCGGAGCAGCTCTGCTTTGACCCAAATTGCCAAGGATTAGAGACTCGAATCGGTTGACCAAGACCGAACGTTCTCCGTGAAAAGTGCTGAGCCGGGAACCTACCTAGACAGAGCGTTTTGAGCTTCTTTCTGACTTCATTTGCTGAAGGCAGGGCTGCCCGACACCATCGAAATCAACTAGAAGACAAAACATAAGAGCCTCCCAGGGCTGTGACATATCGTGAAAAAAGCCCGCAGCGTTCCCATTTAGCAACTCATGTACGGTAGGGTGCTGGCCTGGCCAATAAAGCACAGACTCGGCATTGCGTAACTCATCGGGGCGGGGCAAAAGAATCTCCCTCCAATTCCCATTCTGGTACACATTTCGATGATTGGCTTACCCGTAAGAAATGCCCAATCTCTTAGTTATTATTTCACGGCGTAATCCCGTGCTTGGTCCAAGTTCTCGGCAGCCACAATGTCAACGCACATGGAGTGGATATCACCATTAGCCAGCGTGGCTTGTATTCACAAAGGTCGAAATGAGACTGATATTCGGATCAACAAAGGATCGGCTGCCTTTTTTAGATACCGAACGGGCTGATCAAACGAGATGAGTCGTCGTCACTATAGTGCTGACGGTTTTTGGCAGCAGACAGCACAAAAAACTGTGAGTCTATGAAGCTGGAGAATTCCTTACCACAAAGACCCGTTGGGAGTTGCTTGGCATCAGTTTATAGATCGTAGGAAAGCCCCCTTCGTATTGATAGTAATTCATGACTCGGATGTCTGTTCAGCCTTACATTAGGCGCCCTGGACCATTGACTATACCAGAAGCTCAATAGCCGTTACATTAGTTTGATATCAAAAAAGTTTTGACTGTCATGCCGGGCATCCATAACACGGCAAAAAGGACCCGAAAAAGCAGGGTTGTGAGAGTCTGGGCGAGTGGCTTGGTACTTGGCGACACACGTCATGCCTCTCGCTTTGGCGCTTATTACACGCAAGTGCCCAGCGTGAGGAGTACCTTAAAAAAGGTTGAGGTCTATAATGCAAAGGAAGAAAAGTTTCATCATTTGAGGTTCTGTTCCTTTGACCGTTCTGTTCGTGATACCCTGAAGAAGACGTTGATGTGAGTCCCTACCAACAGCCGACAACATTACGTAGCTGCGCCCCATAAGGCACTTTTTAGCGTACTAACGATGGAAGCTTACTGCAGCTTTGCCCCGCCAAACGAAAGCAGTACAGTCCAGACCAAACCAACAATATTCCGGACGTGCTTCTGAACCAAATCTACCTACCCCAACTTCGCCGAGTCTTCTACATACATCGATATCAATTTACAACAGACATTGATAGCGGCCGACCTTCTGAACCGTGAAATACATCGCTCTCCATTACAAGACATACACGGAAAGCTCTCCATAATCGACTGTTGCGTAAGAGACATGGCTGCTGAGGCTGGAGATACGCCCGCAGTTGTTGAGGATGCTTCTGCGAATCCTCCATCTACCGTTGACCTCCCAGTGCGATCAAAGCAAGATGCTACGCCACCACCAGGCCAGGCGTTGACCGGCAAGCAGGAGCACTGTAAGTGTTGCAATGCGCATTAATTTGCGGTCGAATGCGGTGTAATAGATGCTGATATATTCTTTTACACGTTAGACCTCAAAAGAGAGCTTATTTCGGAGCAGGTACAGTGGGAAATAAACGAACTCAACTCTACCACCGCCCTCCAGCGCTTCGGCGCGCCATTTCGATCCGATCAGGGTGAGGTCCCTCCTGAAGAGTCCGAATTACCCATTCTGCGATACATCTTCGTCCACCATGTTCGCGACTTTCCCTTCCTTGATAAGGCGCGCGAGAAGGAATTCTGGCAGGACAAGCTTCAAGTGGTGAGTAATGATGATGCGATTTGTCCATGGCCGATCTGACGTTAACGAACTATAGTTCCTTGAGTCGTTTGCAGGAAAGCAGATTTCATCGTCGGAGGATCGCCTAGAGGAGACAAAGCGACGAAAACTAGCCATCAAGGCCAGGAAACTTGTCGAGCTAATGATGGTCTCTGGAATTGGCACATCATCGGGATTCGAGGAGCGCATTCGGTTTTCAGAGATTGAGATTGTTGACAGCAATGCTATCGACACTGGTGTCATGCATACTCTGCCCGAGGGCAACTATATTAATGGCTGGGATGTCAATGTCGCAGGCGTGCGAGTCACCCAAGTCAAGCATACGATCCGAAAGCACAAACACGCCGAATTTATCCTGCGTATCAAGAAGAAGGGAGAATTGGAGCACTATGTTGGCCGAAGATATAGCGACTTTGCCAAACTTCACAGCCGATTGCGACAAGAGCTTCCTGGTCGAGTCGTACCA